ACCAAATGTAATGTGATTTCGGTTAAAATCGGACAATTATAACGAAGGCTTTAAATGAAATTCTTCACGGGTATCTGGGCACTTCTCGAGCGTAACATATTAAATGTTGTCGAAGTGAAATTGTTCGAGAGTTGTAGAGAAGAATACTCTGCACACGGTACACCGAACACACTTTTACGCAAGCGTTACGGTTCTCGAGACTGTAACAGAAGGAAACGAACGTGCCACAATTGTTACGCTTTGCGTACGTTATCCTAATTTGTTTGGTTCCACGCTTCATTGAGCTATTGCTCTTGAGACGTTGTTTTATTCGGCCTTTGACGCCTTCATGGTTTGGTATTAAGCACAGGGACATTTTTGCCTTTAATTCTTATCAGAAAGAAGAACGGAAAGTTTCCAGAACGTGATTTTGAATACCTAATTGGCCTTGACGTTTACGGACACTTACAGCAGACACGAATCATCTGTAACGTAATTAGATATACGGAAATGCGCTCCGTCTTCCGGTAGGATAGTCCAACTCCTGTTGGGAATTCAAGAGGACGTTCATCTTCTCATAACATTAACCTCCCTCCCTTTCTAGTCCTACACATGTCGAATGTTGCATCAATGCCGACGTTTAATGCCATCTATCACGAATGACACGCACAAATATCCAGTCGTAATCCATCTCCTTTCTATGACAAAACAAAACGAAAACAAACTCCGTGGCCTGCAGTCCGCAAGCGAACTATACCGATCGAGCGACCGCCGTTTGTCAGCGAAGTTAGCGAAGTTAGTGCCAACTTTTATGGATAGAGGGTGTCACGTCGTCAGCGCAACGGATACCCACGGCCGTTAATCTCAGTATTCTAAACCTGAGCCGCTATTTCCATGAACTAGTTCCTTAATTATCCTCACGAGGCTCAGTGGATCCCGTTCCAGACCCACTACTTCTCAGAAAATCTGGTAGCGCCGGCAATCGAACCCGGAACCTATGAATCTGTAGCCAGGAAGTCTGACCACTAGACTACAGAGACGGTCCTCATTTATATGACAACAATTATAATATTAACGCCAAAATGATATTAGTAATCACAGAATGTACACGATTCACTAAACCAAAGACTGCTAGCTCATTCGTGACGTCCTATACAACGTACATGTGCATCGTTTTGACTTCAGACGTATTTTTATACCCTGAAGATGGAGGCGATACGTTCCTCCCAAACGTCGGTTTACACAATATCTACATGGCGCCACATCCCAGAAGACGGCATTCTTCATAGTCACCGCAGTGAAAACCTCAAACCTTACACAGCGTATTTATCGTTGCGATTTGGGTGTCTCGTAAACCATACGATATATGGAAGAGTTTTACGGAGTATGACATGCTTGTTTCAGTCTCCTCTACAACTTTTTTAGAAAGATTTTTCGCTCTGATAAATATTTAGGAAGTTAAGTTCGATTTGCGTGCCGAAAATTATGTAGGTTTTCATGAAAATTTGCAGTGGTATTTGTCTGATTTTAAGAAAAATTTGAACGTGGCGGTAAACTTAACTCCCCGATATCAAATTTTGTGATGATCCGCCAAGTGGTCCTTCAGTTGGTACATGCAACCAGACACACGTCAGACATGGCGAAGCTAATGAGCTATATTGACAAATTTTTCGTAGCATAGGAACAACATATAAAATAAAGAAGCGAATCCTTGAGACACTTAGACTCGCCACTGCAGATCGAGAGATCATTACATAGGTCTATGTTCCTAAACCGGTGGAACATGACTGACGGCTACGCACGATGTATGTTCTGCAGGCAGGTTCTTACATTTTTGACGAGTTGACGGCTCTGGGCTTCACGGCAACCAGTGCACCGCCAGCTGCGAGGCGCATATGACTTTTGCCGATGAGTCAGCATGCCTAATGACCGATAACGTTAGGAATGAAATAGTTACAATTCACAGATCACAGGGGGTTCTGAAGATGCTGTCCCTCTACACGTAGATATTCCTCACACCGGTGGGAGAGAGTCCGATTTACCATTTGAATATTTTCAATTTCTCTCCGGATGTTTTCTTTTACTTCGTCCATTCGGGGGTTACTGATATAAACTTTGTCCTTCAAACAACCCCAGAAGAAAGAATCACGAGGACTAAGGTCAGGTGAACGTGATGGCCAAATGTCACTGCTAATAATTCTGTCCCCGAAGACATCGGACAAAGCCTGCAGACGTATACATACCTGCAGTGTGGGCAGTAGCTAAGTCTTGCTGAAACCAGCCATAGGGTCTCTCTGCTGTTAACTCTGGAAAGAACTGCCCGAGAATGACCTGGACATAGCTTTCGCAATTAATTATTTCGTTATAAAAACACAGGACCAACAATCCTTCTTGCACTCACCGCACACCAGTCACCAACTTTCACTGGATGGAGTGGCACTTCGTGGGTTAGATGTGGATTCTGTGAGCTCAAGTAGCGATTATTTTGCGTATTTATGTATCCCTGCAAGTGAAAACACGCTTCATCAGAAAAGAATGTCACTTGCGGATCGATTTCAACTTCGACGACAGACTGTACAAACCAACTGCCCAAATGAACCCTGGTAGTTGGATCACGTGGCTGCAAGGCACACATGGATTGCTGTTTTTTATAGGGTCTAAGCTTCAGCAATTGCATTGCCCTTCTTGCACTAGACTTTGACACTCCAGTCTCCTGAGCTAGACGTTTCAGTTATTTTCTAGGTGTATGTTCACGTCTGGGCCCTATGTCGGCTAACTTCACAGTAAACACTCGACGCTTATGTTTTGTTTTCTTGTCTATTAAGAGCCCCGTTTTTCTAAGTTTATGCACCAAATTGTGGATTGTATGTCTGCTGGGAACTGTTTCATCACGAAATTTACGTCGAAATTTTCGCCTACACTTTCTAGGCGGCCCGTTTCTCACGTGTCATACAGAAATACACGTTTTTCTGGAATGTACTGCACCATGAAGTACCACGCTGCTCACTAACTGCAACTGAGAACAAACTGCTAGTGGAGCTGATAACTGCTGCCTACTGCTGACAAATCGTAAACAAATTCCCAGGCATGATTCGCACTGCTCGCCGTAAAACAATGCTGTCAGACAGTCCACAAAGTTAATAATTTCCTTTAATTCAAATTTAATTCCAGCCATACTAAATCATCAGCAAAATTTGTATGCGCGTCGCAGCCGGCGGAGCACCGGTCGCCATGAAGAGCCGTGAATCGGTCAACAAAAGAAAGAACCTCCCTGTAGATAACAGCAATTTATTCCGTTTCACTAAAACGTTCTTGAATTCAAGGGAGATTTTTCTCTTCCTGGTGGAATGTTTTTCTGTAACATACCTTGAGAACGCTTGAGTAAGGCTGCACAAGAGGCCGAGCCATAGCTCAAACGGTTAGTCGCTGGCTTCCCACCGCGGCGGCCCGGGTTCGATCCCGGGGTCTGGTCAAGTGGGATTTGTGGTGGACAAAGTGGCGCTGGAGCAGGTTTTCTCCGAGTACTTCGGTTTCCCCTGCCAATCTTCATTCCACCAATTGCTCCACAATCACTCTCACCTATCATCTGGGGCTGGTACAATAGGCCAGAAGTGGCCGCAGTACAAGGGACTTAGTCCCACCCCACTAGTAATAAAGAAAAATTGCACAAGGTGAATGTTAAGAAAAAGCATGTTGCTGCTTTATCGGGATCAGCTTCTGGTAAGAACAAATTTTCCATCTTGTTCTAGGTCATCCTACGTCTCTATATCTTGCAGGTTCATTCTGCAGAACTGTTTGGCCATCCTGTTGTGTTCTTTTCGTACAAGATATTCATGCAGCTGATTTCTGTGTTACTTCTAAATCGAGAAATCGCATTTGGGTGTAGGCTATTTTCATAACCACGGAGGCTAAGTCGTAGAAATTAGAATTCTGCTTTGATATATTTGCAACAATAAAACGTATATTCCGGTATTATTAAAACCGTCAATATCCTTAAATTTTTAAGAATTTCCATTGTGGATTTGTACAATACTTGAAGTTAGTAACTGCAAGAACACCCTTCTTTGGAAAACGAGAATCGGTGTTTTTCCTGTCGTAGGTTCACGTTTTTGGCAAAATGACCGGTGGAGCGTTGGATGCTGAAGGTTGAGAATAATTTACGTAGGCCATGGGGAGAAGTGGAAGGCTCAGGGAGACAAAGTGGGTGGCTCTTTTCTTTCTTAAGTTGGTTATTTAACGACGCTTTCTATATCGCGACTGCGTTGCGCCGTTGATAGAATGATTAACGAATGTGGAGCAGTTGATGGAATGGGAACTGGCAGGGGAAACAGAAGTACTCGATGAAAACCCGCCGTGGTGGGAAGCTGACAGCTGACAGCTAACTGCAAGGGGAGAATGAACGCTGAAGAGGGGATTACAGCGTCGACAATAGGCAGTTATGAAATTAAAGAAGAGAAATGTGAAGCAGGATGTGTGAGAACTGATACACGGACGCACATATGCGCACGTCCCTGTATGAGACAGGATAGCTTAGTGACTGGTTGCGGCCTGGAATACCGTGCATCAATTTCCACCAAATTACAAAACACACGAAGTTTAATTTAATGTTCTATATGGGTTAGTCTCCGTTTGTAGACTGCAGACGGGAAGGCAAAGATACTAGCACTAGTTTTTTTTTGGAGGGGGGGTGAGACTCAGTCCAATTGGTACGTCGGCCACTAATTGGCATACTATACCAGCCCCGGATGATAGATGATGAATGTGGAGCAGTCGGTGGAATGAGAATTGGCAGGGGAAACCGTAGTACTCGGAGAAAACCTACCCCCGTGCCACTTTGACCACTACAAATCCCACATGATCTGACTTGGGTTCGAACCCGGGCCGCCGCAGTGGAAAGCCGGCGACTAACCGCCTGAGCTACGGCACGGCTAATCTGCTCTTAAATTCTTTGTGAATGCGATTCTAAATTGTTTTTGTTATTCCCGAATATTCGAGAAACCATTAAGTGCAAACACACTTACCTCAGAGACACAGGAAACTGCCTCTTGAATGTGTGAGGAGAACACGGAGGGACAGGCAGAAGATCATTAAGAAGCAGTGATGGTGAAAGACAGATGAGGAAGGAGACTGCAATCCATCCGAAGCAACGACGGGCCTGCGCAGACCAACTTGGAGTAGCCAACATAGCACAGAAGACTGGGAGATGCAGAAGGCCACGGGCAGCGCATGTGTACGAGACTGCCTAAAAGAGTACCACACTTTCAGGCGTCAGATGTGAACTGGAACAAGCCAGAGGGCATAATCCATAAAAGCTGAAGAAGACAGCAATACACTGTCCACTTGCAGCCTGCACACTTGGCTTCCACTGCGTTTACGTACAAGGCCCTACTTTCGCACTAGACCAGTTTCGAATTTCATATTATCTGTTACGAGCATTATGACCCTGTAAGGTTGGTGTAACGGCAACGTTCTACTTTTCGAGGTTCTAATCTCGGCTGGGTGGGTTTCCACAGTCTCTCCAGACAAAATCCCACTATCGTACCTTTATTCCAAATGCTCCTCAATTCATTACTCATCACTCATTCTACTAGTGGATATTATATGTATGGTCTGAGATATTGTAAGCGTCGTTAAATAAACAATATAGAAAACGTTATACTTTTTGTCTCTCTAGGAAGGGTGTAGTGCGTTGGGGGGGGGATCACGCCTCCCTTGCCCACAGGCACGGCTGCCAATAACAAGGGGTCAGACACCAGCGAACAATTAATATCTGATTTCACTTGTCAGTAGGCCTGTTGTTGTAGGACGTTTCTGACACCGCATAGAGTGACTCCCACGTTTCCTGATGCCTCCAGGCCTCCCCCAGTAGGTAAGGCATCTCGTCAGGTGTCACCAGTCACTGACAGCTTCGTCTCTCGACGGCTGTCAATGGTGAAGCTGCAACAAGCAGGAAGACTTCTCACCGATATGGGGTCAGTCTCATGTTGCTCCTCTTGCTGGGACAGTCCATGCTCTGTGTCCACACTCCGGTTGGCATGTCCCTGAAGGCTAGGCATGTTGACACGCCTGACGTCACCGACAGCCACTGTCCGGCAAAGCTGCGAGCAGTGTTTCGGCTTGCCGTTTTCCTGCGCCACTCCCGAGGCTTTAATGCGCCAGCCTCCACTTGCTGTTGTATTATATTCAGCCGGAGTTGGTTTGTTTGCTGCGCTGCAGAGCAGCCGATCTAGTCACAGGGCTGTTGTAAATGGGCCAGGAGAGAAGAAATTAGTGTATTTTCGAAAAGTTGTAGGAGCAAACATGAAACGACTTGAAAACAGCATGGAAACTGATCAAAAGTTGCAGACAGCAAACATGAAACGACTTGAGAGCAGCACGGAAACTGATCAAAAGTTGTAGACGGCAAACATGAAACTTGAAAGCAGCATGGGAACTGATCGAAAGCTGCAGATGGCAAACATGAAACATTGTCTCCCGCATATCCTAATAGGTAGTAGTCACATAGAGTGAGGTCCGGGAATCTTGGGGGCCAAGGAATGGATTCTGTTGGTCCTATTACGAACAATATTGTGCCTTTTGCAAAATGCTCTTGAGACACCATTTTCTTTGATAGTGATCTGAACTGCACGCGAGGTTAACATGTTGCAATCAGTGTCACCAACGAAAACGTAATGAATTTCTTTGCTGTTTTAAATTTTTCACATATTTGTATCTATAACCGTTCCGCAAACACACTAATTTATCATGCAGATAACTTATAGTAGCTCTGTATTTGAAAGGAACAGTGACGTCATGACAGCCGAAGCCACAGCTTCCTCACTCAGTGCCAGTTCAGAGATTAAGCCCCAAACTTAAAGGCCGGGGATGCGATATTGTTCTGCCTGCCTGGTCAAGGCTATCACACAATTAAGGGGCAGTTATAAATTATGAAACAATGGTGAAATGATGATTAGCACCAGGAAAATTATATGAAGCAAGCGTCTAACCGCATGAATTATAGCACAACCACATTTGTTTACTGCCTACAGGAAATGAACGTACTTGGGTTTGTGTAACAATGTTGTCAGTAGGTCAGGCTATGTAGCATGGAATGGTAGGACACTTAGTGAAAATCAATTAGAAAGAATGTGGAAAGAAGCAGTCATCGAGGATATCCTGACGTTTGCCTAAAAGGTGTAAGGAAAATCATAAAACGTGTCAGTCAGGATAGCAGGCTTGTGGACCAAGACGTGAACCCTGAACCTCCAAACTACGGGAGAGTACTAGCCACTCGACCACAGTATTCTGTCTGTCCACAGGACCGTAACAATACTTCACGTGTCCTCCGTGTTCATATGCAGTTTCAAGGTTGGCAGTACTGGCAGCATTCTTTTCTTTTGCGTCCATGTCGAGTGATACAGATGCCAGCTTATGCCTTGATTTTGAGGGGGACGGTTAATTCTGTCGCCACATAGAGTGGTAAGACAAAAAAGGTATGGTCATGAGATTCGCAGGGTCCGGAACCAACGACTGTCCTGGCGAGGAACAGTAGCAATTAATCCGACAGACCGACCGACCGACCGACCGACCGACCGACCTCCAAGAACAGTATGCTTTTATATTAAGACATATTTTGATGAAAAAAATTAAATCCTGTGGAGACAAGGCTTACCACCTTCCCTTAAAATAGAACATAAGATACGTTTTCATGAGAAAATGAATGGCAAATTAAATTCGGATAATGCTTGCTAACATTCGGTCCAGAACCTTTTGTCTTCTCTTCCGCTGACAATAAACGTAAGAACTAGAATATATAAAACTATAATTTTGCCCATGGATCTGTATGTGCGTGAAAGTTGGTCTCTGACATTAAGGGAGGAACACGGACCGAAGGTGTTTGAGAACAGTATGCTGAGGAGAATATTTGGACCGAAGAGAGATGAAGTGACTGCATGACGAGGAGATTTATAACTTCCACTCTTTGCCAAGTACAATTAGAATGATCAAGTCAAGGAGGAGGAGATCGGCAGGACAAACAGCACGCATGGGAAGAAAAGGGATGCATATAGAATTCTGGTCGGAAAGCCAGGAGAGAAACCATTAGGAATTACCTAAGTGGGAGGTTGATACTGAAATGGACGTTAGAGGGATAGGATGATGCGGTATGGGCTGGATTGATCTGGCACAGGACACAGACCAGTAGAGGACTCTTGTGAACACGGTAATGAACCTTCTGGTTCCATAGAATGTTGTGAATTTCTTGAGTAACTGCGCTACTGGTGGCTTCTGAAAGAAGCCTCAGCTCCAAAGAGCTAGTCACTTCACACACAGAGATGTCACACCCCCTCTATACTGAATAACTGGATTGAACCCCTCCCCCAAATACCCTTCGTCAGTGTTGCAGTCCCCTTAATGTTATATTTCCCAAGCCTCATATTTTGAGAAATTAAGCTTGTAAAATAAATCTCAACAAACGCTCTCAATATAATCTGCATGCAAATAAGTAATCCATAGGTTTATTTCAGTGCTAATGTCTAACTACGCATCCGAAGGGCGGAGAATTTCTTGAGAACCTAATAGTCGTTCATCTTATCAAAAAATTCCCTGAATTTAGTTGAATCAGAGGTGTCGTTACAAGTACAAGTAGTCTGTTAGATCGTTACCGGATAACCCAACTTGTGAAAGGTGCCTACAGGAAAACGAATCAGCCACACAGACATCCTGTGTGATTGTGAGGCCGTAGCTTACTTAAGATTTCGTCACTTGGGTCAGTTTTTATGGAACCAAGTGACTTTTATGACGCCCTCATAAGCAGGGTCCTACACTTTATTAAAAGTGTAGGATTAATAAAGGGCTAATCCAAGGGGAAGCACAATAGATCATCGGAGGTCGCAGTGCGGGGGCCGGTTTCTATGGCCCACCTCTTACATACATATATACACAGATCGTTACCGACGTTTCGAAGGAATCTGCTAGAAGACTAAACCAGCTTGACTTCATAATCACCGACATGAGAACTCAAATCTATTTAATCTCAGATTCCACGATGGTGATTATGAATTGTACTATTTTTTTAATGTGACGCCGTGTAGTCTCGTAGAAGTTTACTGACTATTCGGAGGAACGTACTGCCTCTATCTTCGGTGTCGAAGAGTAAGCCTATTGTTTGCTTCTTGGTGGTTTCTTTTTTTGGTTTACTCTTAGACCCTGAAATGGGGACCAGCGTATTCCTCCAGAGCGTCGCCAAACTGCTATCAGAGTACACGGCGTCACATCCCAGCAGTCAGTAGTCTTCAACTTCATATCTCTTCATTGATATGATCGCAAGTTCCCTCGGCCATATGTGCCCACTGCACGCCCTATTATCCTACTTTCTAAGGTTCATTTTAATATTATTCTACTTACAAATAACCAATATTGCGCCGCCACATGAGCCTTACTTTCTGAACTACAGTCTTTTTCACGGTTCCACTAGATATGGCGAAATTATTCCATTTACGTCCAGGTCGTCGAAGTTGTCGCTTTCCTTTAGTGTTTCTACTGAAAGCCTCTGTGCAGCTCACACAGTATTTTTTGTGTGTACAGCGAAACTAGCAATGAAGTGATGAACGTTAAGAGATGTGGTCAGATGGCTGGACATAATCAGTTTCGTGTCAGTAAATTCTAAAGGGTTCTGGCTGTGGTGTACACTCAGAATTACTGGGTTCTAGGACTTCGTTCATCGTCCGGTATTCTAAGAAAAACTAGAGAACACAACGTTTCGAAAACAGGATCTGATTCAGTCCTCATGTGAGGGAGAACATGCCAATTTTGTCGGGTCCCTTAGAAAGAGCTAACCTCAGTCACTGGCGAATCCATGTCGGTCGGTCGTTCTGTTAAGTTCTTCCTGGTGTTAGCCAGCACAGTCATTCCTAGCTTCAGTCTCCCAAGATCCATTACCAATATTCCTGTTCTCTCCTAGATCTGTACGTTCTTCGATATTGGGCCTCCTCTTCGACGAAGGAGGGTTCGGTCTTTCTATGTAGACGCTACGTTTGTTGCGCCGTAGTTTCAGCACGAGTATGTCCGTACTGTGACGGCGTCCAGGCCACTATGGGCTCTATGCACCCTTTGTCACTGCACTGTACTAAGTAACATTTACAGAAGATATACAGAGGTTTCGTGTCATTGCAGACTTGTTCTGCTAGCTATGCCTCAACTTATGCCACTACTCTGAAAATATAGTCAGTCAGCTGAACAGTCGTAGGCCTGACCGCCGCCGAGTTTAAGCCTCTTACACATCCTATATCTGGCTTCTCTTTGTCCAGTACCATGTATATTTGGATTTACATGGTTTAGGATTACTTCTGCCTGTGTCCTGCATAATTTAATTATATAATCATGAGCGTTAGGAATTTTGAAAGTCGTGTGCAATTCGCGAACTGGTGTGGACCTGTCTAGATTTCCAAGAGCGCGGAGTGCTCCGTTCTGGAGGTGCTGCATATTCAAAAGGTGAGTGTCCGTCGCTTACTCCAAGGTGGGACAGGCATAAGTCGTAACTGACCTAATCAGAGCTTTATACCGCGTAAATTTAATATTTGTACTTAAACGCCCACTTTTGAATAGAGAAAATAGGTCCTTATGTAGGTGCGCAAGGCTTAGCGTACCATGTCAGTCTAAGTACAGTTATACACGTATAAATACCCGAGACTACGCTTTTTCGAAGGTAGATCATAAGAAATTATACAATAAAAATTGTGATAAAGCGTGCACAGACTTGAAACTAAGGTAGAAAGGGAAGTGAAAAGTTTATGTAAAAAAACTAGCCAGCGAACTAAGTCCAAGAAAACCAATGCATAGGATTAATTTGAGAATACTGTGAAACAATTTTGTGCTTACCATCGCCGCTTCTGGAGTAAACCTGAACACTCGGGACTAAAACCTTGTAGAAATCCATGAATAGTTTGTCGCATCACACTAACTTCTGTGAGGTTCTAACCTCATTGCTGATAAGGGAGACTCAGATGGGAGAAATGTACAAACTGGGTTGGCTGATCGGATTGGTTGACCATGTCATATGGGACTATTTTTTTTTATTTTATATACTTACTGTTACTTTCAAGTTCCAAAATCCTAGCTGCATCCCAAAATTAGCCCAACATGCCTATGAAGAAGGTCACAGAGTAGGCTGGGATGAAGTAGGATTCTGGAAATTGAAAGTAACAGCAGGTACAGGAAGTACAAGAAATTGGCTCATATGGCATACTTAACCAGTCCAATGAGCCAGCCCAGTTTGGACTTTTCTCCCATCTAGATAACCCTTATCAGCAATAAGCTTAGCAAGTCACAGGAAAGATCAATATGATGTGACAGATTCTTCGTAGTTTTCTGTAAGATTTAGTCCCCAGTGTTCAGTTTTTACTCCACAGATGGAGGTAGCGGTAAGCACAAAATGGTTTCGCAGTATTCTCCAGTTAATTTGATGCATTGATTTTCATGGACGTGGTTTTGGCTGGGTTTCTTGCATAAACTTTTCACCCCTTCTCTACCTTAGTTTCAGGTCTATGCATACTTTACCACAATTTGTTATTGCATTTTTTCCTATTATCTCCTGGGTCTCAGGTATTTAAATAGCTGTAGTTATACTGTCTGTACGCGACAGATCGAAAGGATGGTTTTGTTGCCGGAAAACTCCAACGTGGTCTCAGCTCAATGGAAGCCAGGTATGAGCATTTGAATATTAAAATTAATTAAGATAAGACTCAGGGGATTTACTTTTTTCGCAGGCGACGACCGCCTGAGTCCCATCTTATACTGAATAGACGAAACATTTCATTTGTAAATAGTGTAAAATATATCGGTGTAATCTTCGGTAAGAAAGTTACATGAAGATTACACATAGAAATTACCGAAGCCAAGGCCTTCAGAACATTTATTAAAATATATACCCTTTCCAGAAGTAAGCGATTAAGCGCTAGCATTAAATTGACGCTCCACAAAGCACTTATTGGAAGTATGATGATTTACGTTTGTCCCGTCTGGGACTTAAGCGGCAGACAAACATCTACTGAAATTGCAGCATCTGCAAAAAAAAAAAAAAGTTTTCCACATCATTGGAAATTTTCCAAGGCACACACCGGTTCGCGATGTGCACGTGGCTTTCAAACTTCCGTACGTATATAGTTATATAACAAAATTAGGCAGGCAAAAAGCAGAAGCCATATAAAATCATTAAAATGCAAATGCTCGCAGCATTGGACAAGACGAACCCCGACACAGGAACTACTACAAGAGGCTTATACTTGGCGGTGGTCAAGCATACGGTCGTTCAAGTGACTAGACTGCCGTTGTAGCAGGAGCTACTGATAGGGCATGATCTGCTGTACTGAGCCTGTGAGCCTGGACTGACAGGGGCCTTGTATGTGTTGTATATACATACATTTTATAACATGTAAAATGTAAATTGTACATACTGACAACAGACTTATTACTGCTGACTGTGACTCTGGCAAACGACAGATCCGTCCACTCGTCAGAGAGGACGCCCCACATCAAGAAACACGAAACTGTCCAACAGTAATACAAATCTGGTCTTGGGCCCCAGATGGGGCTTGGCACCAAGACAGACTGGCTGACTGTCCGTCTGTCGTAACATAACTTTGACTTCGGTGTTAATGAGTGAGTGAGTGAAAGAGACAGAGGACTGCTGTGTTTCAGTCGTTGTGAGCTCTTGCTGTTAGAAGCTGGTAGCTGAGGTCGGGGTTAATTCGGGAACACAGAGGAAGGGGAACGTCCGCCGTTGGAAGCCGCTACCAAGCAACAGCAAGTGAAGACGTGACTGTGCACACTAGTGTGTGTAATAGTGAACTGAAAGTGTAGTCACGCGCTGTATCAAAGTGTGCAATAAAACCGGTCATCTGTCTAAAACCCGTCTATAGTCACACTCCATAAAACTGTTGTGACAATATAAGGTTTCTGTTTGTAATAAAACTTAATACAATGGCATTACAATCCGCTTTAATTAAATGTCAAACGACAGCTGGGGGCACTCTCAGTTTTATGGTAACGAAAACTGGGTGTATTACTCGTACTAGCACAATTCGAGGGGCTCGAGCGAATTTCTCTGTTCGGAAAGAGATATTACTGCATTGGCAGCACTGTTAACTGGTGTGGCTTTGTCTTCGTTTGTTTTTCTGTTGCATTACTGCAGCATTTCACCTTCCAACCCACTTTCCTGCAACGTGTTTTTCATAGACATGCGTACCTTTTTTGAATTTATATATCAGGCAAATGTTTACTTGTATGAAATTCACTGTAGGTTTCATTCAAACACATTCTAATTNGAAGATGGAGGCGATACGTTCCTCCGAAACGTCGGTTAACACCACATATACACGGTGCTAAATCCCAGAAGACTGCTTTCTTCACATTCTAATTAGCCAAACTAGTTTCATGAGTACCCCAAAATCTAAGAGAATATGGTACAATACTTCCCTCCTAACTGAATAATAGGCTTTCTTGAAGTCTATGAATAGCTGATTTGCTGTCTCATTATGCAGCACGAGATACGAGTATTCACACGTCTTTTTGCGTTTAGAGAAAAGGATTTTTAAATCAAAACATGCTTCATTTGGAATCCTGGAAGCTCACGAAATATGAAGAAACTATCTGAGAAACTGCGCAGCTCTTCGGCCATATTTGCAGTAGAATTGCATTCGCTTTCAGAGCGAAAGACAGAAAGTTAAAGTGTTACAAGATAAGACACATATAAGAAACACGAGTCTACCCACATAAATGTATAAACCGGTTTTTTCTTACATTCTCACGGCTCTCAATATTAAGGTTCTGATCTTCTTGGGTGTGACACCACGCGAAGTCCATCAACTCTGCGGACCAGAGAACCTTACTCGTTGTATTGGCAAAATTACGGAAGAACAATGCTGTGTAAACATGCCTGAATTTCCCATCGGCGTATGGAAACCGGAGGTATGTTAAAATATAATCTAATAACTTTGTAATAATGACGTAAGAGTCTACGTCACTAACTGCCGATGAAGCAGTCTTGCTCCCATATTAGTAGATAAAATACAGTTACATATTGTAATGTGTTTGGAATCCAGAAGAGTCACTTCTATGGAAACGCTAGAACAGACCGTTGCATAGGAAGTAACAATAGCGATACTGTAATCCCAACAGTGAGCATTGCATAGAGATGAGTTTCCATGGTTATAACAAAGGCTCATTGCATAGCAACCGCCGAGGTATAAATAGCCCAGCTTCGACAAGAAGTCAGTCTGGAAATAACCGCCGAAGAAGTCAGTCTTCAGGAAGCTGCCGCTGAAGATAGTTGGAATCTAGGTACAAAGAGCTACAGAAGTATTGGCCGAGATATTGTGTAGGCAGTAATTGTCATACTTCAAGTGCTAATAACTGTAAAGCGTGTGAGTGTATAAGTGAAGCATCCAATAAAGATTCGCTGAATCCGAGACCCACGTGAATTTATTTGTCGCGTGACATACCCAAAACATGACAATATTCTCCGTGTTTTCAAGCCTGGCCGTTCCCAACAGAAATAGAAGTGGATTTGGCGGTTTTCAATAAATAGACAAAGGCTCTATTAAGTATAAGGGTTACAACAGGCCTTTAATTACAGTGTGTCACATTTCCTTGCCTCACAAATTCAACTGCAGCCACCACCCCGGGTCTTGTTACCATACTTCTCACTTCTCCAGAAGCTCAACCCAGAGGCCAAGTCTGAAAATGCGACCTGTATATTTAACGTACTTCCAGAGTTCTTAAGCCGGAGTAGCGTAGTCGGTATAGTGATTTTCTACGGACTGGACGTCCGAGGGGTCGGAGTTCGAGTCCCAGTGGGGACAGAATTTTCTCCATATCGTCCAGACAGCCTCTGGGGCTCACTCAGCCTCCTATCCAATGGGTACCGGGGGCTCTTTCCCCGGGGGTAAAGCGGCAGGGATGCGAAGCTGAGAACTCACCTCCAGCTAGTGCCGAGGTCCATAAAATGTGGATATATACATCCATTCCCCCATACGCCTTCATGGCGTAGTGCTTAATTAGTTAAGCACAGGGACAACTTTACCTTACCTCCAGTGTTCATACGCCAGAGGGTAAACTAAACATCCCTACACAGGCCTTTCTTTTTGCGTGAGACTTTCTACAAGAATTACTCTATGACGTACCCTGGTTCGGAGAGTGATGGACTTAACCGACATCCTGCCTCCATCTTCAGAAATGAAGTCAGTAGGAAGGACGTGCAGCTGAGTAGCTTGGCTGCCGTAAGTCGCAGAGTTTCGGACCGGCGGACGTTTCGTACAGAGTTGAGTCCCTATAAAGAAAAACTGTGTGAGATTTGAGGTTCTCATGGCAGCGAGAACTATGACTGCGGTCTTCTGGGATATAGCGCCGTGTAGTTTGGTAGAAGGGTTCCTTCAGGGTTCAAATGAATCCTGAAGGTGGAGGCAGCAAGAAAGTAAGAAAGGAAACACCTACCATAACATACAATTAATAATAAAAAACCATAATTAGAAACAAATTGACCTTCTACCAAACTGCATGGCGTCACATCCTAAATAACCAAAATGTTATTTATTTTAGTTTTCTGAAAGTTATACGATCAGGCAAAACCCCGTACAACGAAACAACACACAGCAATAACTAATTAAGGACTACGTGATGAAGACGTATATGTGAGTTAATACGAGTATATAGATCCACGAATTCTTGACCTCGACACTAGCTGAAGGTGAGTCCAATTTCCATAATAAGCATGATAAAATAAATAAACGAAAAAGGAAATAAATTTGTATGTTCAGAACTAAGTAAATTCTTTATCTCGCTCAACATAGGGCTAATGTTTTCAAGTTGAAAGGTTAGGTTATTCCCAACAGAACTTTAGCTCCACTTCCCCTCCTTTCCCCAGCTTGTACTGCAGATAAGGAGGAACATTCTGGAGGAGCCTTCTGCTCCCATCATCACGGTATTGATCTACACGATGTCGTAACCAAGAAGGTCACAATATGAATACATTTGGAAGGCAGTTCTTAAAAGCATGCTTCACTTAGTCAATTTATGAACTGCTTAAATTTGCTACGGCAGTTTCAGTAGCAATTCTTAACGCCGTCTGAAATCTATATGTCAAGAACATTTTCCTGTGAACACGCACGTTCACGTGGGCCGCATGTACAACGGTTAGACAAAATAATGTGAACACTGCAGATACTGTACACATTTCTTTATTAATATGGCGTTGGACCACCCTTTGCCTTCAATACAGCTGCAGTCGTTCTCGGAATGGACTCGTACAAGATCTGAACAGTCTCTAGTGGCATTTTAAACCATTCTTCTTGAAAAACATATTCAAGTTGCTTTAGAGGCGTCGGAGATGGGAATCTGTTCCTCAATTTAGTGTCCAAAAGTGACAAGAGCAGTCCAACGATGTTCAAATCTGGTGATTGTACTGGTCAGGGTAGATGTTGAAGTTTACCTTCATGCTCTCCGAACCATGACTGAACAGTTCCAGCTCTGTGAATAGGGGCGTTGTCGTCTTTGAACACTGCATCGTTGTTCAGAAATAACGTCTGGATCATGGGATGCACCTGATTACCCAACCTGTCCACGTACTCCCTTGCAGTACTTCGGCATGAAGGTTAATATTGGGACAAACAGAATACCACGACACTGCTGCCCCCCACCCCCGTGTTCCACTGCTGGAACCAGGCATTCCGGATTGTTCTCCAAATGTAAACACTTGCTGGTGTAGGGAACAGCATGAAGAACGACTTGCCCGAATATTACTTTTGTGGAAGGTTTAATAGCTGCAACCCTACCATCAATGTTGCATTTGTGAAGCTCACGTTGGACATTTTTTGTGGAAACATGATCTTCAAGATGAATATGTCCTTGTGCTTAATGGATTAAGCATCACACCATAAAGACGTATGGAGGAGTGGAGAAATTGCTCCCCCATCATTGACCTTGGCACTAGAAGAAGGTGAGTGGCCAATTTCATGCCCATGCCACTTTACCGCTGGGGAAAGAGCCTTCAGTACTCATTGGACAGGAGGATGGGTGGGACACAGAGCCAGTGTGGACATTGTGGGGAGGAGAAAAATTTCTTGCCCTTCCCGGGAACAGAGTCCCGGCCGTCCAGCGCGTTGCCCTCGCTAACAGGCTGAGATATCCTGGCTCTTCCCCATAGAGTTTGCTGTCCTAACTAGTATTAAACATATCATTTGTTTAATCAAAAATATTAAAAGATATTCAAAATGTATCTATGTTCCCATCAACGAACGCGGAGCTTTATTCAATTAATGTTGCAGCATTTACGTTTTGTTTTGAGAAGTGTCAATATGACAGTGTTACAGACCTTTCATGCAAGGTTACATAAACACACGCGTGTAAAGTATGTCACTTAACTGCAACCGTGACCAAAATAATCATACTACAATATTGCAGTACAAACTAGCCTCAGAATTTGGGGGCCCCGTAAAAATCCTACATAAATTGGAAGGTACTGAGCCCAATGGCTGTAGGCCGAAAGATCGCCGTTATACTTCCGTACCTTTACCGAGGGGATGGCATAGAGATTCTTTTTCAGGGGATCCTTTGTTTGACTCCAGTCTAGGTACTGACAGCGCCGTTAAGATAAGCCACACATAATCCTTGGCTATTAATTATTATTTCCGAAACATTAAGTGTTTAAGAAGTTAACGGCGTTCACTTTAAGTTTATCTCTTATCGTGTTTATTGGAGCTTTTCTAAATTGGTACTTAACGCCACCTCCGCTTTCAGATATGGACTGTACGATATATTTTTTACGGTCAGGGCGACCTTGAAGCGAACTTCAACTTTATGAAGACTGGAGTGTCCGACTCCACCGCTTGATTCCGAGCTCGCAATGTCAAAAAGGTTATCAATCTACATGAACGCTTACTGGATTACATGCACAGGCCATGTTCTTAGATCTGGCCGCTGGTATAGCAAGCTGCATATGTGCCGGGGGACGACGGTCCTCTACTAGTTAGTCGCTGGCTTCCCACCGCGGCGGCCCGGGTTCGATCCCGGGTCTGGTCAAGTGGGATTTGTGGTGGACAAAGTGGCGCTGGGGCGGGCTTTCTCCGAGTACTTCCGTTTCCCCTGCCAATCTTCATTCCACCAGATTTTCAATCATCATAATCACCCAGGGCAGGCTACAATAGGCCGCCGTGCCGAGTGGACCCAGTTGGACTCCACCCCCCACTAAGCGAAAAGGTCCTCTACTAACTCATACGCACTCATATGATCTGACTTATTGTGCGAAACATATTTTGAGGAAATAATGCATTTAAAGGGATACAGACGACGTACACGTACCCCGTTCACGTGTTTACACTCCTATACCAAACCCCACGTACGTAGCTGCAACCACGCATCGGTTGTCATCGAAAGCTCTTCCGCAAGTTTTTCATGTCGTTAGTTTCTATCTCAGATAATTATTATCACAACGATAATCGCTCAGGGCAAGAAATATATTATCGTACAAATATTAAGGGGTTACTATCTTCTGGAATGCGTAGATCAGTAGATAGCGACGTTTCGGAGGAACCTCATGTCTCCATCTTTACAGTGGAAGTCTTGTAGAACACTGGTTCCAAAACCGTTTCAGTGTGAGGCTCCTTTCGTGTGAATAAACATGTTTCAGGCTTCCTAAGTGACTTGAAGTGTGACTTAGCAATTTCAAAATAATTAGCAATTAGCCATAGATACTCGTATATCTCGAAATATTGTTTCTACACAATTGAATATTTTTAATATGACCTTTTCTTATTTTACGTGTGATTCTAGCGTAAACTAGTTAAGAATTCAACGGGAAGCCTCACAATTTTTTAAGTTGTCGCATTATTAACGTTCCCTGCTTTCTGCCGTAATCCTTTCCATTGTCGTAAGGAGCGTCGAGGCCGAAGTTTAAGGCATTCTCGCATAAATAGCACACGTAAACAGGCAACCATAAATCATCGCCTTGTTGTACACTATACTTCGCGTATCAAAATAGCGTAAGTACGACAGAAAATAAATACGATACACTGAAACGAAGGTCTACTCGCTCGTTCATGACGTGTTACACAGCTTACGCTCATGTAACGTGTTTACGCTCGACAAATCCCTGCTGTGGTAACCAAAAATGTTATAATGTCAATGATGTCATGACTGCAAGTCAAATTCAAAGTCACATTGTAACTGACGGTCAGTCAGTCTGTCTGTCTTGGTGCCGAGCCCCGTCTGCGGCACACGACAAGATATTTCTTCTTGTTTGAAAGTTTCTGTCCTGTCCATGTGGGGCGCCCTCTCTGATGAGAGGACGGGTCTGTCATTTGTCAGAGTCATAGTCTCCAGTATTAAGTCAATTGTCAGTATGTACAATTATTTACATTTTACCTGTTATTAACATTTCTGTATACAATACATACAAGGCCTCTGTAAATCCAGGCTGAGTTCAGAAAATTATGCCCTATCTTCAATAACTTCCGCTACAACGGCAGTCTAGTCACTTGAACGGTCGTATGCTTGACCACCGCGAAGTTTAAGCCCCTTATATTTCTTGTGTCGGGCTTCGCCTTGTCCAATGTTGCGAACATTTTCATTATCGTGATTTTGTATGACTTCTGCTTGTTGCCTACATAATTTTGTTATATAATCACATAGTTTAGGAAGTTTGAATGCCATTCATGCTTGCAAATATTTGTTATGAAACGTAAAATTATCCCTGTAACAGGCCGTGAAGGCCCACAGGCTTGTGAGACGTTGAGGCTCTCATATCTTCTAGACAGTCGGCTCACAGGTGGCGGTAAAATTGTCAGCCTCACGCGCCGGCCACCTTCTACCTCCAGGAAGATTCCTGAAGCTCATTTCTGTTAGAGGCTGAGTCGACCCCAGGACCATAGCGTGGCTGAATGGATTAGGAAAATTGAAAAATCCACTTCATCGGGACTCGAACCAGCGACCTTCCAGTTTGTAGCATAGTGCCTCAACAAACTACGCTACCACGTACTCAAATTGTTATGAAATATGAGGATAATTAGGCCATTTTCTCCTGTTGCCAGCGGCCCCCACTGTGGGAGCTGCCGTTCTAAAAGACCCCTAGAAATCATTAGTACCCACAATCACTATCACGAGGCCTCATGTAATTCTGGAATTATATGCTGAGAGGCGCTAACATCGCTCATTCATCGGAAATTGTCATGCGCGCCCACAACTGAATGAGGACTGCCGGAGACTCTGTGTCCTTCATGGGGACGTTTGGTACGGTACATGGCTCGAGCACTGGTGCATACCGCTCGCCATTTGGTG